CTAATAATTTTTAAATTACCATTTTCAGGCCCCCTTTCTGTCCAGGCCCTGGGTGACCACTCGGTTCGTCCATGCCTGTGTCCAGCCCTGTTCATGGGAAGAGGGATTCCCATGAACTGTCCTGGAGCAAGGGAAGAGAACAACGTCCAGGTTTATCACTGTGCCAGCCAAAGACCAACACCCAAGATGAAGCCCTCCAATACCAGCCTCAGGGCCTTCTCACCCTCTAGCGCTCCTCCAGAGGCAGGTTTTTCAGCAGGAACTGGTGGTACACAGGACCTTCCTGGTTACCATTAACATTAGAGTTTCTTAACTGCTACCTAGTGGGTTATTCTGACTCATAAGTGTCTACTGCTTATTCAGGTCTTTGGGTAGATGTGATATCTTTTATTAGACCAACTAAATAGTTGGAAAAAAAGTTCTTCGCAAGCTTTCGGGCACAGACACCCTTCATCAGACATAGGGAGACTATCTGGTGCTTATCCAAGTGCTGGTTACTTCCCCCTCCCACCCTGAAAGCATGCCATGGTTTTTGCTCTGAATTTGTGCAAACCCTTACTTAAGGCTTCCTGCTTTATGCAGGAATTGAAATTTTGCAGTGGTCTGGGCCAAGTTACCAGCTGGTGTCAACTGGCACACTTCAGGTACCTCGGGTGACAACCCCCCACTCTGGTGGTGTGAGCGCTGGGGCAGGTGGCTGGAAGCCAGAGGTTGAGGGTTTGCTCATAGCATGGCCCTGTCAGAAGCCACTGAATCTGCAAATCCTGCTAAACACCTTGTCACAAGGATGCAAGGAAGGAAGGGATGCACTATGACAATTTGCACCCAGTGAAGGTCTAGTCCAGTGGGTTTACTGCACTGCAAGCTTCACACAGACCACCACAGCAGATGGAGATCAGCGCAGGGCTATTAGGAACCCAAATTCCTGGGTTTCGGTCCCAATTCTGCTACCGAATTTAGGCAAATGACCTCCCTTTGAACATCTATTTTCTATCTGCAAATGCAAATAAGAAACCCTACCCAATTCCTAGGAGGTTATAATCAGGGGTAACAAATACTTCAAGGCCTTAAAGGAGGGATCTTGAAGAAGTGAAAATCATACAGTTTCCTGCTGTCATTGCTCCTTGCTGGTTGAGGGAAGCTCAGTTTTGAATACCAGAAACCAGCGGGGGGTTTTCCCCACTTCAACAGTCAGCATCAAGCCGCAGCCTCCCCTCCACCCCCCACACCAGAGTGAATGTGCACACGCATTTCCGCCTTGCCAGCAGCAGGAAATTCACTTTGCTGCCTGCCGTCAGCCAGCTTCTCTTGTCTAAGTTATTCTAGACTTCAGGTCTTGCAAATTTCCTGCAAATGCTCCCGAAAAAACCAAGGCTGCGGGGTTTCTCATGGCAACCGCGATGAGAACCGGGATCCGTGGCTGCATCCGCTTGGGGCAGAGCAATATCGTGCCACAACTGATGTGATGCTGGGAGGTCTCACTACAGCCACTTGTATTGTGGACCCGTGCTGCAAAACCAGCGCAGTCCCTAAACCAAGTCTGGAGCAGCAGGGCCTGCAGCTCAGGGGCAGCGAACATCGCGTGGAGCAGCAAGAGCTTCAGCAGGATGAGGGAACAGAGCTGTGGTCCAGGGCCGGCCCGTCCTGTCCTGCAAAGCCTGCAGCCGCAGGGGACCCCGTAACCATGGGGCTGCGCCCCGCTCGCCCCCTGCGCCACGTTTAAAGGCCTCCATGCAGGCAGGGAGCCCCTTCCCCGCGGAGCTGGGGGGCTCTGCTCCCTGCCCTGCAATTTTGATTTGTCGCTGGATCAGGGGGCCCCGAAACACTGCGCCCGTACCACGAAAGCTTGCGCGGCGCCTGTCCTCACGCTGAACACAGCCTGGCCGGCAGCATCCATCCTTTCCAGGCCAGCAACCCCCCGAAACAACACACTGCGACAAGACGGGTAGTCCACCCCCATTTCAACACGTGGAAACGCAGCCGGGCGCCAGCCCCGTGCTGCGGGGCCCCTGCCCGGGCCACGCGCAGCCGCCGGGGAAGCAGATTGGCCGCGCAGCGCGGGGCGGGGAGCAGAAAGCGGAGCAGCAGATTGGCCGGGCAGCAGAAAGCGGAGCAGCACGGCGCGGAGGCGGGGGGATGGGCACGTACCTGAGGCGGCGGCGCCTGCTCCGGGCTGTGCGGGCGGCTCTGCGCCGCGCCGCTTTTGTGTCCTCGGGGGAGGCGCGTCC